TTTTCAGCCCTTCACTTTTAATCTATGTATGTCTTTATCCATGAGATGTGTTTCTTATAGGTAACAGAGGGTTCCTGGGTTTTGTGTGTGTTTGTTTTTTAATCCATTCAGCCAATCTGTGTCTCTTGATTAAAGAATTTAATCCATTAACATTCAGTGTTATTATTGATATTTCTAGACCTGTCCCTACCATTAAGTTGGTAATTTTCTTGGTTGTTTTTTATCATCTTATTTCTGTTTATCCCCTTTTTAGTTTTAAAGGTATACTCTTCTCAGAATTTCTTGAAGAGCTGGTCTGGTATTGGTAAATTCTGTCAGATTTTGTTTGAGAAGATTTTTTAATAATCTTGGTCAAAATTGTTTCCCTCTTAACACTTTCAATATACCTTCTTATTCTTTCCTTGTTTACATTGTTTCTATTGAAAGGTCCAGTGTTAGCCTGATGGAATAAACTTTTAAGTCACTTGACATTTCTCTCTTGACAATTTTATTTTGTCTTTATCTGTTGTTTTCACCACTCTGGCTATGATGTACCATGGAAAGGATCTTCATGGGTTGATTCTATTTGGGTCATTTGTATTTTTTGGGTCTGGATGTTTGAATGCTTCTTTAGGCTTGTAAAGTTTTCTTCCAGGGTTTCATGAAATAAATTTTCAATGCCCTTATTAGTTTCTTCATCTTCCAGGATACCAATTATTCAAATGTTTGGATGTTTAATGGAATCTAGTATTTCATTATCCTTTCATTATACTCAATATTAATATTTTAATATTCTATATAATTCTCATTTTCATTTATTATTTTCTCTTTTTTTCCCCCCTAGGTTAGAGGTTTTATCTTCTACACCTGAGATTCAATCTTCAACATTGTCTAATTGGTTTTTAATAATTTTGAGAGTGGTTTTGATTTCCTATATTACAATCTTCATCTCTAACAGTTCAGTTTGATTTTTTCCTGTGGTGTCCACTTCTTCTTTCAAATCGTGAAAGGACTTCCTCATCTCCTAGAATTAGTTTTCTCTTTTCTGTTTCATCTCATAGAGTTTTGTCACCATGAATGTTCTGAATTCTCTCTCTGACATTTCAGTAACCTCTTCTGTTTTTTCAAGAGATGGAGGAGAGTTATTGTGTTCTTTTGATGGAGAACCCCAGTATTTATTTATTTATTTATTTATTTATTTATTTCTTCCTTCCTTCCTTCCTTCCTTTCTTTCTCTCTCTCTTTCTTTCTTTCTTTTTTAGAGGTTTTCGCTATAGGGTGCATGCGCTCGCCAGACAGACAGAGAGAGACATAGAGACAGAAAGCGAGAAATCACCCCCCAGGGGGGATGGTCACGCCGCAATCCCTTCTCCTCCATTGTCCTCTTGGGATCTTGGGCACACACGCACACGCGCCTGGCGTGAGTTCTAAGCCACCGGGTCTGGGACGTGAACCACGGTCGACTACGTGGGAATCCAGCGACATAGTCATTACACTAACTGCTGGATCCTTTTTTTTTTTTTTCCATAATTGAGATCCATAAAGTCACAACTGTGACTTTTACGTTTGACGATGTGTTCACTTTTGAATAACTCTTTAGAGAATGTTTCTGTAACTGGGAACTAGTTTGCTTCCTTTTTGCTGTGAGTTGCTTCTGTGTCAAAGTCTCTCCTGCTGTGGCTAGCAATGTGGTCCCCATGGTAGGATTTTTCTATTCAGGTTTCTGAAGAGCAGTTTCTCCTTTTTTGTTACTCTGTTTCCAGCATGTAAAACACTGTCTATCATATAACAGACACACAAATATTTGTTGAGTGAATTATTGAATAAATCTAACTTAAGAAATTAGATAAAGGAATGGCTCCATGGCCTAATGGTTAAGTGAGCTAGATCCTACATGGCTAACCATGCCCCATTAAAGGATGCTTTCTTCCCACTTTGTCTTTCTGTCTCTCTGGTGAGTATATATGCCCTCTGTCAACTGGAAAAAAAAAAAAAAGCAAATTAGGTAACAGAATTGACCTGGGAAAGTAGAAATAAAAACCAAATGGATAATATTGTAATAGAAAATAAAGATAAAATAGAGTGAATTGTCCAAGTCCAAGGTAGTTATTTTGAAAATCTAATTTTATAGACAAACCTATGTCACATATGACAGTCAAATTGTATCTTGAATATTCTGGTAATTGTTATCTTTACATAAGCAACAGGTGGGAATCCAGCGACATAGCCATTACGCTAACTGCTGGTTCCTGAGTTTTAAGCCACTGGGTCCAGGACGCGAACCGCAGTCGATTGCATGGGAGTCCAGCGACATAGCCATTATGCTAACTGCTGGTCCCAAAATACATTTGAATTTTAATATGCTCATCTATACCTTAGTTGGTGAAATACCTCTAATAAGAGACTCCATGGTCATACTGATTCCTCGTTAGTACTCCCGGGCATACTGAATCTAGGGTAACAACCATAGACATTGGGACTTTGTAGCAACACCGAGTGATAGAAACTGATACACCTAGCCCCATTTTATAGATTAGGAAGCTAGAACCTAGAGAAGTTAAACAACTTCATGGAATTAAATACCAATCAATGAGAACAAGCAGATGGTATTTATTCTAAGATTGCTGTGGCAAAGCAGTCAGCTACTGTGCCTTGTGTTTCAGTGGAGACCTAAGCAGGCAGAGGTGTGGGAGAGCTTTGGAAAGGGGAAAAAGGGAGGGCTTCAGTCTCCCCTGGCTGCAGGTTGAATAGAAGCAGGCATCCTATGGGCTTGGTCAAATATACACTATTTAGCGTTCTTTGGTTGGTCCTAAGTTGCAAGCATGGACAAAAATCAGGGAAGCCATCAGTCATTAATCAAGTCCTGGCTATATTTGTTCAATTATCACAGTTATTATTTAGCTTCCTGAGTATCATTAGAGACAGTAGTCTCATTTCTACAAATCTGACTTAATAGCAAGCAGGCTGGCTTCTGGGCTGATTACTGTAGAGAAGGGGTTGGCTTCCTGGGGGAAGGCAGCTGCAGGTCTTGGGCACAGTTCTTTTTTTATATATATGGTCTGGTCACAGTCCATTTGTATCTTCAGTCTCACAATAATGAAGGGCAACAAGGTGCGAATATGTTTTTGCCTCTAGAGAGAAGGCAGCAAGAAAATGAACTAGTTACTCTAGCCATCTTGGTCATTACTTATTTGATAACTGGCATATTTAAAGAGGAAATGGAATATATTACATTTACAAATTGTAGCTGCTTTAATACGTTTCATTAAATTTACCAGTGGAATCAATCATTATTTAAAACTCTCTTACAACATAATTAGTAGAGTCTACTAGATTGATGAATAGAATAGAATTTGGGCTGAACTTAAAAACTTAAGTAAGTATGTTTTCAGATTTATACTTCAATACACTAAATATAATTTTTAAAAATCCAAAGGAAATCTCTGAAGTACTTTTGGGACACAGTCTGCCATTGATATCCCCAGTTCACATGTGCTGGAACCTCTGAGTGGGCTAGGCCTGGTGTTTTCCTGAAGCTTTTTTAATAGCATAGGACAAAAAAAAACCCCAAAAAACCAAACAAACAAAAAAACGCAAAACCTATCCATTTCTTCTATGGGAGAGAAATAGAGACAGAGACAGGAATCCTCATCAGGGTCCCTGTGCCACAATCCACACCCGATCTCAACTAGCCTGGATCACAGACACGTGCCTAAAACGTACATGGAGGTCTCTGGCTGGGAACTAGGCTCCCTCCCATGCAGGTGCAGCATCTCAGGGTGTTGCATTGCCATGGTGCTACAGCGTGGCACTCAGCTTGGGATTTTTAAAATATGCTGTATTTCTTTTATATGATCACATACTTATTCTATAATTTTTTAAAAAGGTACTTAAAAATTCCCTGCCATAAAGTCATGTGGGCAGTAAGATAATATAGAAAACACCTGGCCTGGTGCATGTCAGATAAATACTAATTGTTTTGGAGCCTATCTTCGTTCTCAAATGAGAAGGGGGTACTGTGTTTCAGAGAAACTTGGAATTGTCCCTTTGCTGGCATTGAAAGACTTATAGGGAGTATAAGTACAGTACTGGTCCCAAGAGTATCATTTTGTGATCAGATTTCTTCCTATTGGCCCACTATATTTAACTTACTTTATTATAAGTCTATTGAGGTTTAAGTTGGTAGGTTGGGAAAAATCAAAAGATGGAATGAAGGGGGACCAGCAGTTAGCATAATGACTATGTCCCTGGACTCCCATATAGTTGACTGCAGTCTGAGTCCCAGACCCAGTGGCTTAAACTCACACCGGGCACGTGTGCATGCGTGCCCAAGATCCCAAGAGGAGAAGGGAGTGCGGTGTGGCCATCCCCTCTGGGGGGGTGATTTCTCGCTTTCTATCTCTGTCTCTCTCTCTCTCTGTCTGGCGAGCACACGCACCCTATAGCAAAACCTCTCCAAAAAAAAAACAAGATGATGGAATGAATAAAAAGCTGGATAAGGATAAAAAGTTGATTTTTATGATCAGATTATTCTTTATGTTCTTCTCATTTCTGCATCCAGGGTTGCTGTAGGACTTTATAGCATCTTTCCGATACTAATAGAGTCTCATCCTTTCTGGGTGACATCGTCCCCAGTAATCCTGGCTTATCAAGTGGAGGGCATCTTTATATAATTAGACAAAACTTCCCTTCCTCCTAGTCAGTGTCCACCCAGTGTACCTGGTATGATGAGCAGAGGTAGGCTGGTTGTCAGCTCTCATAGGCTTTCTGTGCTTGGTGCCTTGTGCAGGGCTCAATCCCAACAGCTCTATCCAGCAGCCCTGGCTGAAACCTATCCCCAGTATTTCATAGAAAATCAGCATTTTAAAGTAAGTGTAGACTATGAAAAACACAATTTTGGATACAACCTATGTAAAAGCTCACATTTGCTATCTTAGCATGTATCTGGTCAGTAGTAAATAGCAGATATATATTTGTCCTGTTTGTTAAAAACATTAAAATGATTACAGGGTAGACCACAGTCTGGTTTGTAAAAATGAATTTATTAAAATGCTCATAATTATAAAAGAATATTAAAATGCACAGAAATTAACATTAATTACAAACTTTACATCTTATGCACAGTGTATGAAAAGCATCATGAATATTTCACTTCTACTTTAGGTAATCTGCTCATACATTTTCACTTTCCAGACAGTTTATAATATGAACATAGGAAAATGGTACAAGGAGTGTTTCAACAACAGGGCACATTCTGACTCTTATGTTGAGCTAATATCTTATGAAAGTCAAGATGCACATGCAGTGGAAAAGGGGGATTTGGAGGACATTTTGCATGATGGTCTTGGTTAGTTTTAAAACAAAAAGGACAGCTTTCCCTAATGACATATCTGAGGGATGTTTTAAAGAAAAATCCCCTGAGTATTTGGTCTAATGCACCAATCCACTAAAATTCACAGGCATTACAAAAGGACATAAAATGAAAACTTCTCTAGTGGTTAACACCGGACAGGTTGAGGGCCACATTCTCCCTTCATGGGTCCACTGTCATGCCCCTTGGTTCTGGGTGGGGGTGCTACTTCTGCTGTGTTTACAGATGCAGCCAGCTATCATCTGCAGACATGGGCCCATATTTTTCTTCATCACTGACATATCAGCACTAGACTGACATTAATACTGCTGATGCCATGGGTGACTCTAGGTCTCCACTATAACTTAGCTTTTTTGGGCATTTAGCAATGTCAAACATCATGTTTGCTGCCCTTAAAAATGCAGGTTTTATTTTTTTCCCTCCTGTCCACAGCAGCACAATTTAAACTATGGGGAGGATTTTCTCAGCTGGGGCTATGCAAACATAAATGTACGTTTCTTTTGAAGTCCTATCATCTATATAAAAGATACAAACATTTCCTTTCTATGCTGACATAAACAGTGAGTGATTGCTGAACCAAACACTAGGAGATAGATGTCACACGCTTCAGAGATAGGAAGCGATGGCCACTTCCAGGAGCAGCATCACAGAGCGGTGGCACCCCCAGCCAGGCTGTGCAGAAACGAGGAACCATCTCCTCCAGTGGCAAAAATTCATTCTTCTGTCCTAGCACAGTCAGACCTCACATGGCCTGGATCTGAAGCCCTCTCTCACCACATCATGAACATTATCAAGAAACATAGTCAAATGTCCCTGATCCATAGGGACAATTCAAAAGCCCAGAATACTGCTTTGATAAATTATATGTAATATATAATATATGTAGTGAACATTTGTGGCAACCATTTAAAATTGTGTTTGGGAGTTAAACTACTTTAATATAAAACATAGCTCTAAAATCTGATTACTTAGTCATATTTCACTTTCTTTTGTTGCTGGGATTTGCTGATAGGTTGATTCCTTTGGCACCTAAGTGTTCAACAGCATCCCGGTGGGTAGAGGCCCATCCAGCATGGACATGATGCAAATCACCTCCTCCTCCTGCACCAGCACTGCACTGACTGTTACCAGTCCAGGGTGACAGGTGCAGCTCCACGTCTACTCCAGTTACCAGAGAGCCTGATACTTAAGAGGCAGTAAAGCTCACCAGATGGCCTGACAGCAAGATACACACAGTGACGTAGGAGGCAGCAGGTGACCTCCAGGTGATGGAAGGGTTGTGAGCAAACCATTTTCCTTTTTCACCCTTAACTGCTTGATTGGTCCTGGAGGAAACTGGAAGCTCAAATCAAATCCAGAGTCTCTTTTCTTGATTAGGAATCTTGGTATAAACCTGTGTCTAGTGCAAACACACAATTACAATCGAGTTACTGGGCCCAGAGTAAGAGGGTGGAGGGTACGAGGAAGCCACATCTATGGCAGATACTTTGGTATGTTGATTGCTTTGCATACAGAAATAAAGCCATTCAGATTCCCTGAGTGGAAGGCACATCCCTCACAAGGACCACAGTTAGTGTGGCTCACAATTAGTGCTATTCCTTTAACTTGACACAGCGTCGTCAAGTCATATGGCTACACAGTGAGCCAATCGCAAAGGCGCTTGGTGATTTGTAATATTGTAATACTGTACCTTGCACCAATGAATAAAAAGTCAGCTGTGGGAAAATGACCGGCCTATCTTTTCCAGACCATTACCTTGGTAAGAATGTAATTTAATCATGTGATATAATTTCCCCCTCAAGAAACTATACGTCTTTAGAGGAGATAAATTAATTATCCAGATCAATGTGAGTTACAATTCTATTTGAATCTGTAATTTTTCCTACTTTTGACATTTTATCCCCTTGAGGTGTGCAAAGCAATCAACATTGATTAGGCACAGAACATTCTAAGAGTGCTCCTGGAAGATAAAAGGTGTCACTGTGGGTTAGAACAAATATGCTTCAAAACTTTGCTATCTTCATGCTGATCCACTAAGAATTTCTCTTAGATGGAAAGGCAGGTCAAAATGAAGGCTGAAACTATTTCCTCTGATTAGCTGAAGTTTCCTTTCTGTAGGGAGCTGATAATACATATTGTGAATTCTTGAGTCTATTTGCCACTAAAACAGCATTCAAAGTGAAGCTCAACTTGGCTATTTTTAGTCACACAAAAGCTATTAAGCACACATCTAGTTTTTTAATGATGGTGCTGTAAGGAAAAGATAACTCTGGAACAGAACTGGCAAAGTGAAGAAATGAAACGTTACAAAAAAATAAAGAGGACCGTGTGCTTGATTGAGAATAGAAAATAATGAAAGTAACCAAAAAAGTTTGGCCTTACAAGGGGGTTTTTAAGCCCACTAAGAGAATTTTTCTTTGTTACTAAAATTCCAATGATCAGTAAAGGGCAATATTTTAGGCTTTCCAGGTGATTAATTTCATGCCAGTCTTGATCTACATTTTACATCTTCCAGTTCCCACATTGCTAGCTGAAACTGAAAAATGATATACATGAAAATGGCAATAATTAAGACTCATATTTGCCAAAGTGATTTAACTTAAAACATTCTCATTTAGTGATTCATAATATATTTTAACAGAGCTTAATTCTTTAAAGTGCTTCACAGAATAAGCCCTTATTCTAACTTTGGTCGAAAACTGTTATCTACTGCTTCTACCATCCTCTCAGCTATCACCCCCATGTTTTTTGTCATATCTTTGAGGTGACTCTCATGAAGCAGCTTTTGAGTGAGGTATTTTTCTCTCTTGATCTTGCTCTTCGTGCTTTTTGATACATCTGGAATTGCATACGAAATGAAAAATTTCACCGAGTAGATGACATGCTAAGGAAGAGAAAGAAAAAAAAAATTGTCAATCGTGAAGAAAGTAAGGAAATGTAGAGTTCCGTTCATTGGTTTCTGCTTGTCATTATGGCAGTATCTCTGGACAAGGTGGACACTCTGCACACATCCACTCTACTCACAGTGTATAATGAAGCAAATATGTCATATAAACTTGCATGCACACATGTATACGTATTAGTTATAAAGGATCAAGACAAAACCCACTATTAAACTTAAAAACTACTACGCTGGCAATGCTGTTGTCTTTTGTGCACTCCTTTTCTAATTTCTCTGCCCCTTTCCCAGAGGTAAACATTATGCTATCTGTGAACTTATGTGTATCATTCTCAAATATTTTTTACTTTCTTTCATCAGAGGGAGGAAGGAGGGAGGTGATCCTAACAGGGTCTTCACACTATGATCCATCCTGAATCTCAGCTGCCTCGGTCACAGTTGTGCCCATGCACAGGGAGACATGTAACCTGGGACCTTTCTAAGTGCATTCAGTTACATTACCACTGTACCACTGTCTGGCTTCTCAGTCTACTTTTGAAAAATAGTTTTATAAGATATGTATATATCCCCAAATAATACATTTAGTCTTGCTTGGTGTGAGCTCTATAAAAAATAGTGCAATGCTGTATGTAATGTTCTGAAAACTGCTTTTTCACTGAAAACTGGTTTCTAAGAAGCATCAGCGTTACTGAACATAACTAGTGCATTTTCACTGCTGCATAATATTCCACTGTGTGAATGAACACACTGTAATTTATTAGTTCTCTTAAAAACAGGCATTGTGCTTGTCTCTAGTTTTTGCGTTAGGAATAATTCCGTTGTGGACACACTTGTGCTTAGATCCTGCAGCATGAGTTTCTCAAGGGTGTGGATGTAGAAGTGAAACTGCTGAGATCCTAGGTCTTATGAAGCAAGGTATTTTCTAAAGCAGTTACTCCAACATACCCTCCTATCAGCAGTACGTGACAGTTTCAATTGTTCTACATCCTTGTGAGCACTTAGTATCATCAGATTTTTTTTAAAAACCAATTTAGTGAGTGTGAAGTAGACTTTCACTTTGATCTTACTTTGCATTGTATTGTAATTAATGAGGTTAAGCATCTTTTCATTTGTTCAAATCCCTAACCTAGCAAGAGGAGAGAGACAATATATAATAATCAAAATTAAAGACAAGTAAATTCTGCATGGTGCTAAGAAGCAATTAGAGGTCTGATATACTGGTTCATGTGGCAGGGTTCTGCTGCATGGTGGCCAGGGCTGTGTGGGAGGCCTGAATTCAGTGGCATGTACCTGTGGTCCTCGCTAACAGGGAGGCTAAAACAAGAAAATTGCTATATGGTGAGACCTTGTCAAAAATACCTCTCTTTTCCCCTTTTTCCCACCTTCCCATTAAACAAATGAATGATTAGAGCTACGGAAAAAGAGCAAAGTAATATATGTATTATAGTAAATGCTATTGTGGGCTTTTCAGTAGATTTTCTTATAGATTTTCTACAGATTTGTCTAGATACACTTAAGGAGGTGAGGGACCGAGCCATGCGGATACAAGAGGAAAGTCAATCCAGGCAAAAGGAATAATTAATGCAGAGTCCATAAGGTGGAAGCTTCCAGGTAGTATTCCAAAAATAGTAGGGCTGGAGTGAAGCAAGTGAGAAGTGACATCTGAGGAGCAAAAGAAGGTGACTAAATTGCACTGGAATTTGCCTGCCATCATAGGACTTTGGCATTTACTGAGTAAGGTAGGAAGACAATAGGGAGTCCAGTTCAGTGATGCTGGTCCTAATCTAGGCAAGAAATGATGGTGGCTCTGACCCAGTGGTAGAATTGGTAAGAAGTGGTCAGTGATATCTTTTTAATGGAAAAAACCAACTTGAGTAGATGTGCAAAAATAAATAAGGAGGGCTTTCAGGACTGGCTCAAGCAACTGATGAGACAGAATTGCCATAATTGAGAGGGGTAAGACTATGGATGGCACAGATTTAGGGCCAAGTTGGGAGGAGTACATTTGGAGAGGATATAAGAAAATGGGCGGGGGGAGAGAGAAGGCAGCAGATGGCATAGCAGTTACATCACTGGACTACCACCTGGCCAACCGTGGTTCAAGTCCTGGACTTGGTAGCTTGAAACTCACACCAGATGTGTGTGTGTGTGTGTGTGTGTGTGTGTGTGTATGTCTAAGATCCTGGGAGGAAAGGGACGGCAGCGTGGCCAACCCCCCCCGGAAGGTGATTTCTTACTTTCTCTCTCACTGTCTGTCTCTCTGGTGAGCACATGTGCCCTAAGGCAAAAACCTCTCCCCACCCTCCCCACCCTCCCCACCCCCCCCAAAAAGAAGGTGACATGGGAATTGGGACAATAGCTTTGAAATATTATCTAAGCAAAGAGGTCAGGTAGGCAGTTGAATCCATGGGCTGAATTTAGGAGAAAGTGCTCTGGAAATATCCACTTGGCAAAAGGTGGTATTTAAAGCCAATAGGCTGCAGGAGGTCATCAAGAGTGAGGACGGAAAAAAAGATGTCAACCAAGGAATGAGCCCCTGGATGACAAAGAAGAGAAAGAAGGGACTGGCAAATAAGTTGAAAGGCATGACTAGTGAGGTAGGAAAAGAGAGAAAGAAAAATTCTGGGGGGAGCTAAATGAAGAAGTATTTCGAGGAAGAGTGAATGATCACTGGTGCTGCTAAGTTAGATAATGTGAGGATGGAGTAGTGATTGTAAGGATTTACCAACATGATGGCACTGATAAGAGAATGTCAGGGAGATGGAGGGGTGAGAGCATGAGGGGGAGGCGAACATGTGGACAGCAAGGCACTGGCCACGAAGACAAAAAGAGACATAGAGATCAGATGAGGGAAGAAGGATGGAGAGAATTTTATTTTGACAAGGGAAAGATATTAGTGTTTGATAATGACGTAAACTACTGGGTTGTCAGAAAGGTCATAATGCATTTTTGCATAGGAAAACAGAAAAATACACCATGATTTTTCTGACAACACAATGTATAGTAGTGGCTAAAGTTCATGTAGGAAAGACAGGTTTTGTTCTCCCCCTCCCCCACCCCATCTTTTTCTGAGATTATTAATTATAGATAGGGGGATTTTCTATTGGGTCATTGGAAAAGTCATGATGCATTTTTTGCAAAAAAGAAACAGAAACATATGTCATGACTTTTCTGACGAGCCAATACATTATGCCACCTTTGCATGCCAGGGTTAATGCCAGTGTAGTAATGATGCTATCTTTTTAAAGTATATTCCACATTTGAAAATGATCCTTGTCTCTATGTAATGAGTGAAATAGCTTATAATATCCCTCTCTCTATTTTTAATCTTACTTTAGGACCTAGGCTACCCTCAGCCTTACCAATGACTTGGAGAATATTTCCTCTTTTTCTGATCTCTGAGGAAGTCAAATAGTCGAAATGATCTGTTCTAGAAAGCTTAGTATCACTCTCCCAGAAAAGCATATGGCCTGGTGTTTTATTGTAAAAAAAACTGTTCAATTAATCAATGTTCTACTGTAGTTCTTGGCTTATGGCTACCTTGAAGCATTTTGAAGACAGACTACTCTTGTCTAGAGTTAAAAAGTCTACTCTAGTTTTTGTCAATCTTCTCTTCTGGTAGCTTTTAAGATCTTTTTTTAAATAATTATTTTATTTATTATTTTTTAATTTTACCAGAGTGAGACAGGGAAAGTGGGAAAGCAGGAAAGCAAGCCACCAGCTCCAGAACTTGAACCGCCATCAGCCATGTGGGAGTCCAGCATCCCAGTTACCATGCCACCTGCTGGCCCTGTGCTTTTAAGATCTTATCTTTGGCATGTCACCATTTATTTTTCAGTATATGTAAGTGTAAATTTCTTTGTTATTTATTCAGTTTCATAATTTGGCATGCTTTTTGCTGTGTGTGATTTAATGTCTTTCATCTATTCTGGAAACATTTTAGCCATCAACTGTTCAAATATTGCCTTTCCTCTGGTGTCTATTTTCTACTTCCGTAGTTTTTTAAAGGTAGGACCTCTTTGTTTTTCATATGGCTTAACCTTTTGTGTGTGTGCATGCATATTATTTTTTTTAATCCCTGTGACATTACAGGTAATGTTTTCAGACTTATCTTCCAGTTTACTAAGTCTCTCTTCAGACATGCCTAAACTTCTGTTTAATTCATATGTTAATATTTTTCATTTTTTACTTCTAAAAGGTACATTTAGTTTTTCCAAAATTGCCTTATAATAGTTATTTGTTTTAAAATTTCATATAGATAGTTTATGTTCCTTATATGGTAATTCACTCTTGAAGTTATTGAGGGTCCAAATCAGTGGGTTATTTGTCCTGCTTTTTTTTATTTTCACTGTTGATCTTTGTGAGCTTATATTTGATTATCTTGACCTGAGAAAAACTTGGTATCTAAAGAGAAACTCTTTTCTCCATAGAGGATATGCATTTACTTCTGCTCTAAGACAAATCTAGCCCTTTTTTCATTCCCTGGCTTACTGCAGGAGTCTCAAGTTCAGCTCTCATCCACCTTGTTTCAGACCCAGAACTTAGTTGCTCTGAGATGGAATTACTAATAAATAATAGCACTTGCTCTCAGGGCCCTGAACACTTCAGGGGTGCCTTGACACTTTAGGGGTGCCTACTGCTCTATTTTAACCCATTACCTTATTCCCCACCTCTTTGTAAGATTCTTCCTTTCAGTGAGCTCAGAAATGCAAATGAAATTATGTTTCAAGTTGGTTTTAGCGATTTTGCAGTGGGATGGTACCTCATAGTATTGAGCTCACCTTAATATCACAAGCAGAAGTCCTATCACTTTGTCAGCTACATATTTGAATATGAACTAGTGACTTGTTGATATATCAGATACCATACTTTGGGAATCTATTTATGATGGTGAACTATGAATTATTTTTCTTTGCCTGTTAATGTTTAGTAGTTGGTTTTTAAAAGGTACTAGTATAAGTATCAAGGCCAGGTAGACTACCCCACCACTTCCTTTCTAACAATTCTGATTTTACTCAAGGCAAATTTTCAGCCTCCCTTGTTGCAAGAAGGAACCAGGTGTTATAGTTCTAGCCAGTGAGATATAGGTGGAAGTGTGCTGTGGGGGCTTCTGGAAAAGCACACCTTCCTGAGTAAAAAGAAACAGATATGGCTGGCTTTGCTATTTCTCTGTCTTGAATGTAAAATGTGTTACTGAAATTGTGCCGGCCATATTGCAACCATAAGGTGATATGCTTGAGAGAAAACCTAGATAATCAGAGATATGGTCCTTACATTAATGTGCTGGTATTGACTCAGGAACAACTCCTAGTGAACTTTGTTATGTGAAAAAAATCAACCCTTATCTATTTAAGGCACTATAAATGGATTTCCTATTTCTTGCAGCTAAATGTAATCCTAACTAACCACACTAATCAAGCAACTTTTGAGGCTTTATAGAGTAAGAAGTCAAGCTGGCTAGATCAATTGCAAATTATAGCTATTTCAGTAATTTTTCAGAGCTAACTTTAGGAATATAGAAAGCAATTGTAAGTAGTTGGTATATTATGGAAATGCAATAAAAGAAATGATAACAATATGAATAAAACTATATCAATAGTAGTAAAAGGTCCTCATGGCTAGAGGTCACATCTTACTCATCTTGAATAACCTGTTTACAGCCCACATGCTGCCTAGTGCTTCCCTGTCAAAAGGCAGTTAATACTACGTTGAGTGGAATTGATTCTCCTTTGCATAGAACATGCTTTTTACCTTAAACTTTTTTTTATGATAAAGCATATGTGTGTACATGAGGAAGGGGGGAAAGAAGAAGCCTCCACAAAGCTTAGTCGGGCTTCCATCCCTTTCTTCCAGTCCTCCACCCCACATGTTTTCAGGATACCCAGGTGGGGGAATCAATCATGGTTGGCCTGTGGCCTCCAGCTCTGCCATCTGGCATGCTATGGGCTATGCCACAGAGACTGGTCTGACTTTTAAAGTAGATAAGCAACTTCCTTTAATTAATGAGTGCATTCTGAGTATTCTCAGGTCAAACCTGATTAATAAGTCTTCAAATAATTATTAGCACACAGTAAAAAAAAAATCATACATTTAAAACAGAGTTGGTAAGACTTAAAACTAACACAAGGCTTGCAAGTATCCAGTCTTATAAACTATGTCAAAGTGTACTTTTCCTACCTCCATGACAATGATAAAAGCCAGCTTGGCTGCAATCACGTGCCAGTAGTAGATGTTGTGTTTATACTCCTGTGGATGTCCAGGCGGGTATCGGAAATCACGATACCTGGAGACAATAGAAAGGCATCTTAGGAGACCAATCTTGAGCAAATACTGTAAATAAGGGCTCTTTTACAAAGAGGTCATATTTCATGCAATACTCTTTTAAATTGAACATCAATTTTCTCCTAGAGTTCAATTTAGTAACTAAACCCCCAAATAATGAATGACTCTAGTAATATTTCCAGTAATCATAAAATGATGGTATTGACAGATCTCATCTTTGTAAAAGAAAAAAAAAAAAAGAATACATTTTCATAAAAAGAACTAAAGTTCTTTTCTGTTGTTGTTGCCAGAGCTTTATCCCTGCTTTCTCAAAAGAATATAATTAGACCAATTTGGCCTATTTTCAGGAAAATGCTTATAAATTTCTCTATATAATGGTCTTGATAGGGTTTACTTGGCTACCTCTCTGTATATAGAGTATCACCTCTTTGTTGTGATGGTTTACCTAATTCCTATTGTCCGATGTCATGATTTACTGCTGTTAATAGTATCTTCCTCAGGACATGTCTAATTTTCCACCCCTAATTTATTAGACCTAGAAGAGTTTTTTTGTTTGATTTGCCAGAGGGCAGATGGAAAGCACCCCTCAATGAAGCGTGGTCACATCATAATCCCTTTTCTATTTCTCCATGCTGCTGAGATGTTGGGTGTGCACACATGTGTGCCAGATGTGTTTGGGGCTAGGATTCAAACTGCAAGGTTGGCAGTGTGGGATCTGGCTTTCTTAACCACTAGACCATGGAGCCAGCCCTAGAAAAGTTTAATTACTAATTAGAATTATGTAAAGTAAGAGTAAGCAGATTCCCTTTAAAAGTCTGAGCCAAAGTTAACAAACTTCATTACTTGGTAATTTAGTTGGTTTATACTGTCCATAATTTTACCAGTTATTAAAATCAATGTAGAGCTTTGGGAACCAGCAGTTAGCGTAATGGCTATGTCGCTGGATTCCCACGTAGTCGACCGTGGTTCGTGTCCCGGACCCGGTGGCTTAAAAAACTCACGCCGGGCGCGTGTGCATGTGTGCCCAAGATCCCGAGAGGAGAATGGAGGAAAGGGGATTGCGGCGTGACCATCCCCCCTGGGGGGTGATTTCTCGCTTTCTGTCTCTATGTCTCTGTCTGGCGAGTGTACACGCCCTACAGTGAAAATCTCTCAAAAAAAAAAAAATCAATGTAGAGCTTTATACTTATTAAGCTAAGGTATTTATGTCTCTTATCTGTCTATGCCTTTAATTACATGAAGATGCTAGCTCCTCATCATTCGATATCTTCAGGTTGTGCTTGAATAATGCCGTTAGTCTTGACGATTAAATTATCCTGGATTTTAGAATTCTTGAAGTTATTCCATTTCCAAAATATTGGGTTGTCAGAAAAGTTATGATGCATTTTTGCATAGAAGAAATATGTCATGACTTTTCCAACAACCCAATAGAAGACTTTTTTTTCTGAATCAGTCTCCCTGTAGCCATTTGAAACTCCTCTTTAATCTTGATTTGTGGTGTGGTTTCAAAGTTCTGACCCTAATCTTTAATATCTTTTTTTTTAAGTTAGATGATAAAGAAAACTATGCAAAAATGTCTCTAGCAATTTGATTTAAATGACACTAAACAGAATTACATGACAAGAAAAGCTCTTTTCAAGATGAAGTGTATTTTTAAACAGATAAAGCAGAACTTGCCTGCATGTGGTATGGTTACCAAGTCCAGTGTACGGGTTTCCCTTGCTTTTGTTTTTGAAGTCTGCGACGTTGAAGTAGGAGAGAGTGTTATTGATGTACCCCTCCATAGTGTAGTCAGTGTGGTTCCCATAGGGCGGGATGGAGAAGGACCAGTAATACACCAGGCGAGGGATCATGTCTGATGTGAAGGCAATGATCATGGCCTATGTTGGGAAGAAAACAATAAACGGGCATTAATTTAGAGCTATTACAGCACGGTTAACAAGTAACATCAGAATTACTGTTTTCATCAAGTGAATTCTTTTAAACTAAAGATTCAGAAACATTGATTCTTTTAACTGTGAAACATATATGGATATTTGAGCAGCAATTTTAAAGTAGAATATTATTTTTTTTTTGTCTTCAACTCTAAGGGAAAGTCCAGAGGTCTACCTGCAATTCAAATGTAAAGGCCTAATAGTTGCCTATTATTTTTCTTAAATGTATTGAGTTGTTGGGAAAGTCATGATGCATTTTTGCATAGAAAAACAGAATATATCATAACTTTCCTAACAACTTAGTAGTGAACACTCATTTAGTCAGAGTAATTGTTGACTATAGCACTGTGGGTAACTCAACAGTTACTGGTTAAGTTATAAGTAAGTTGGTAGTTTTTTAAATAAGAAGATAATTCAGTCAACCTTAGAACTCTACTTCATACAATCTTCTTGATTTAGAAGACTTCTGTAGATATATTAAAGTCAATGTTACAAAAAATAATTCAGCTTTATACATTCTTTTGAATAATAGCTACAAAACTGATACTTTATCACTTGATTCTTATATTTTACTGGATCTAAATTTAAAGAATGACTTTTGAATTCTCACTTCCCTCCTATAATATCTTGACTTGTTTAGATAAGTCGACCCATAGCCTACTTTATTTTAAATTCTCAGTATGTGCTTATGTGTGCTGTTTCATTAGAGAGCAAGTATTATTAATTGTAATAAATGTGGTAAACAAGTCACCATTTTATGGTTGTCTCATTTTATACATTCAAGAAATGATATTTGTTTTGTTAGATCTAGTTGTCTAAGCCTGTAAAGTTAAGATTAAGTGGATGGAGGTTATACATTATCAAATGATACAGAAACTTTATCGCAAATCCTTTAGTTTGGATTTTAAAGTCTCTAGTGTGTAAAATTGGTTGGAAGGGAGGACAAAGAAAAAAGAATAAACCAAATTCTATGTGAATAAACAAAGTAAAAACAATTTAGTTCTTAACTGAAGCAGAGGGACAGACATGGTTTTGGCTCAACGTATTTTTAATAGTGTTCAGCTGAACACATGATTTAGACACAGTGAGACCACAAAACAACAAACAAGAGCTCAGATAAAACAAGAAAAACAACTAGGGAAGTCTTCTGTGGTAAAATTTCACCCTGCTAGAACAAGCTTTGTCCTTTCCTCTGAGGTGAAAAATCTGTGTGTGTTTGTGTCTGTGTGTATCTGCTTCCTAGTACTGGTGTGAGGCAGGAATATTTGACCTTTTTCTAGGTTTCAATAGATTAAATTTTCCTGTTATCATTTAACTCAACTCTATCTTTTTATAGAATCTCTGGCAGATGTGCTTCAGGAAGGCACACAAATCCCAACAAGAAAGATAATTCTATTGTCTTCTGACAAGATACTTTTTCCTCCTGAATTGAGCTGCTTTCAAACATGCTACAAGGGTACAAATAAATGCAGTGTGCTTCATTTCCTATGCTGTTCTGCACACAATTTTCCATTTATATAAAAATAAATTAAAATTGGTCTTCAATAGCAGATGCTTTGGCATGATACAACAATGTCGATTTGGCTTATTTATTGAGCCAGTAGCTTTAAGATGAATAATTTTATAACAAACTCATGCTTGATACCTGATCTCATCCTTGGTAGCTCTTTTCTTCCTTTCGCACACATTATGTTGGAGGTACACATTAGGCATTTATGGGGCTGAGGTTATATACATGAGGGGATAACAAGGACATCTTCAATGCTGCGATGCTCTACATGGGTGCATATGCTGTATCTTGAAGGTGTAACAAATCCTTATATGGAAGGATTGTCCACAGTTTAGTCAGGGATTTTTAGGGTACATTATAAGAGAAAGCAATCATTGGATCAGAACCAGCACCACCAATTAGCCTGCATGTGTGTGTGTGTGTGTATATATATGTAAATACAGCTACTCTTTCATCTATGCTAGTGAATTAGAGCCACGGCATGGATACTGGGAAGAGGTGCCTAACATAATCAAGCCTACATGCTTGAAGAATAAGCAGTTTGAGTCAATTGGATTTTCTGGTTAGCTGAAGGTCAAAGTTTTAAACCTTGTTGCTGAAAATTTTCCTAAAGCACACAAGTCCCCATTCCTGTCCTGTTTAGTGTTCTATAGCATATCGAACATGACAGATTCATTCTTTTATGACTGAGGAACTTAAAAGGCCTTGCTGTCATATTTCTGAACATCAGTCTTCATTTTGCAGCACACAGAGAGGGTGGTAAAGGTGTGGGCTACTTGACTGATTGGAAAACGAAGCACCACAGCCACTGGTTTGTGTGCATGATTTGCAAACTTCTCTAGAAAGGGAGAGCATGCCATTTGGAAAACCTGAGAGCTATGGGCTGGGGCAGGGGGTGACAACTGAGTTCCAGATAACTTGTTTTGTCATATAAAACTGTAACTGTAATCTAGAGAGTGATTTTGAAATTCTTGTGGCTTTACTGAGGTACCTGCCAGTCACTTAATAATGATTATAATAAAGGTAACAGCAGCTGATATTCAATAAGGACTAGATCTATGCATTCCATGCAGTAACTCATGAATCCCTTGACCATTCTTCATGGTATAGACTGTTCTTTCAATGTGTGGTAGGAAATTATTCACTTTACTAGTGATAAAATGAGGCTCTGAAGTGTTAAGGCTTGGGTTGAGCTGCAGTACTAAGGACAAGTGTTTGGGTCTATCTGTAAATTTTCTGACAGCTGCAGTGCTTAGTAACTTCCCTGATCTAGGAGCCTGACTTCAGGCACTGCTGAATTTGGTTCTGTTTCTGCAGGTGCTGTGGTTAAAGGCTGGTGAGCCAGTGGAGCTTGATTTAAGAAACTAAAACTAGAAACTCATTCTATTGGGGAAGCTGAAATGAATGAGTTGGCAGGGCAATATGGGAAAAAAAAGGATACTATAATGGTTTTAAAAAAACTTAGTCTTTCTGAGAAGCTCCCTATTGGCCTAAACAAAGAAAAAAAAAATAAAGAGGCTAGTCCATAGCCAATTAACAAATTAATACAGTTAAGACAACTGTGTTTTGTCCCCTCACACTTACAGACCCCCCTAGACCCACCTTCTTTAAGAACCACTGTCCTGGAAAGGTAACATATAATTATGAATATACAAAGTGTGACACTTTCTCATCAAAGTTAACAATTTGATATTTATATACAGTAAAATATGGAGGAATGGCCTTATTTCAGGGTCTCAATCTCTAAACAGATGTCTACTTGCTTATTTGTTAAGGCTTTTAGTCAATAGAAATATGGTAATAATAAATACTAACACTTTCAATCTTCACATAATTATCAAGAGAGTAATCAGTGCTTTTATAATGCAACAATAGCACTTCTGTAAGAGATCTGACTCTGTAAGTCAAGAATAATGTTAATTTATACTATATAATATTAATATAATTTAAGCAGAATAATAGTTACATAACAACTATGTTCATATGGATGATAGTTGTGGCATCTTCTTCTCATTAAAAAAAAAACATTTGATTTTTCAGTTGGCAACTTTAGTGGGTCTGTGGACTTTGCAAGGTCTTAGCCCGTGAAGCCTAGGTCTACTCACATTGGTCACCACAGCCAGAATCGCTATTCCTTGCATGATGGGCTGCCACGCTCCGATGTCTTGGGCTTTCTCTGGCACCATGCGTCTAAACTGGGTAGTCAGTTTCCATGCGTCCACTCTTATTTCCAATATATTGTTCACCAGAGCCAACAGAGGAGCCAGTGGGAAAGAGGCCACAAATAAGGTGACGAACCCAAACTGAATAACTGTCAATGGAATGGACACACATCACGAGATGGTGGATGGATGGAAGGACAACATAGTTTCCTTTACTCTTGTTAAGAAAGAGAAAGGCAAACAAAGAACTAAACCCCAGAGAGAAAACACATCCATGGTAAATAACTTAACGTTCAACAGAGAAGCAACCAAGCACAACACAAATAGGACATCTCTGGAAAGACGACTACTTAGAGCCCGTTGCTTTCACATGCGTGCCTTTTTAGGAATGCTATATTATAAAATATTTAATCAACTAAAATTATTCATTGATAGTTTAAGCATATTATTCAACCTCAATGTTGAGATAACAACACTGGAAGATGATTTGTGATTTAGGATTAAAAAAGAAAAAGAATATTGTGAAAGTATCTAGCAAGTTAAAAGATACAGGAAATGTACCTTTGAAAAGGCTATGCACAGAAGATGTTGGAGGAAATATGTTAAGAACAAAGGCGTGAGCTCCCTGAGTCTGAATGTAAGTGCACTGCATTCAAAGAATTTATGACATTTTTACAAATGACAGAAATATTGTGTCTTACTAAGCCATAATATGATAGATCCTTAGGAATTTTTTTTTAAGTTGTCGTAATCTTTGTGGTCATAATAAGTCAAGACTCAAGTGGCGGCTTAGAAGTTCTTTTTTCCTTGTCTGTAATTTACACAGTCTCATAAATGGGGCAACATTTATCGGGGGGGGGGTAAGGTATGTCTTAGGAGGAACTAAGAAATGCTAAGCACAAATCGAAACAAGAAACCTTTCCATTTTAGACCCTTTCCTGCTTTAGAGGGAGCGTGTAAGGGACAGGGAGGACGCTACTAAGGAAAGGCAAGGCTGTGGAGGGTGTGGCAGGTAGGAGGAGTACCATTTGCTTCTGGTCTGAGAGGTCTAGGACATGTGGCAGAAGAATAGCCAGGGTGGGAAGGATCTGGCCAGTCTCACAGGCCAGGCAGGAGGAGCACTGTGTTCAGTGAAGTTGGTCTGGCAAAGACCAGAGTCGGCAGTAGGAGCAAGGAACAGTGACGTCAACATCTGTGTCTGTGACTTATCTACCCCTGACTAAACTCAGCCTGCAGGGCCAGGCAAGTAATGGATGTGGAGGGTCAGTCAACTGTGGTAAACTGGCATGTGCACGTCCTGCCGAACAGTACAGTTCACGGCTACTTACTGGAAAGAGGGCCTGGTGTTGCCTCAGATCTCTTCATTCAGAAAAGCCAGAAATGAGGATTAGCAATAAGCCCAGTTAAAAAAACAGAGAGAGAAAAGATGCCATTTGTAATGACAACAAAAGCACAGGCTATTCAGGAATTAATTAATGAGAAATATTAAGACTGTTTAATATAGGTTGGGCATCCCTGATCTGAAATACTCCAGAATATGCTCTTTGAGCACCAACATGATGTCACAAGAGGAAAAATTCCACACTTGACCTTATGTGATAAGAAATAATCAAAACACTGCAATACAAAAATTACAAAAATGTTGTATAAAACTACTTTCAGGTTATGTATATAATATGTATTTGAAACAAATTTTATGTTTAGATTTGGGCCCCATCTCCAAGATATCTCATTATGTATATGCAAATATTCTAAAATTTGAAAAATTTCCAAATACAAAATACTTCTGATTCCCAGTATTTTGGAAAAGGGATACTCTGTCATGAACTTAAGGAGAAACAAATAATGATGGATGAATGAAGGACAAGATGGACCATCCTTTTGGTAGGGAATACTTCAGTTTGAGAAAGTATCACATTTTTCCCATAAATTATTTACCAAATTTGCATTCAAATTGTAAATTATCACAGATTAAAGGGGGAAAAAGCTAGAATGTGATGCTGAAGATCTTCAAGAAATATAACCACGTGAACTGGTAAAATATAAACAGGGAAGTGTGCAGTCAGTATGAGGACCATTTTGAAAAAGAATAAGGTGTGACCAGCTCTAAGAAATATTAAAGTACGTTATAGGCTATAGTCATCGAAACATTTTAGAACTAGTATGAATGGTATGAATTAAACAAATGGATTTTAAGGCTTTAGTATATTACCAAAAGTGGTACTTCAAATCAGTAGATTCAAGTATCACAGACTAGCTAAAGCTTTCTTTTGACACCAAATTCCAGGTGAATTAAAAATTTTACATTAAAAAGTGAAGCAGCAGGAAAAACCCCAACATCATATATCTGTTCTTAAATTAAGGGACAAGAAATGTATAAGCTACTTTTGAAACCAAGAATCAAGGGGGGGGGGAACACAACAAACTGATCAATTCAGCAAAGCAGCACTCATACAGAAACTCCTCTACTTTTCTGATCCCTTTTGTACTTTCTTCTTCACTGTAGAGCTGAGTGTCTTGAGGGAATTATCTACCATGATTATTTCTTCACCGCTCCCTCCCTCCTCGCCCTGTCTTGCTGACCCTCACTGCTGCACTCTGAGTCTCCTCTTGTTCTCTGTAGCAGTGACTGCACATCCCAAAGCCAATGCATGTTATCAATCCTTTATCATTGCCCCTGCCAGTGTCTCGACACTTGGTGGCAGGCATGCCTGCTTCACTTACATGTCTTACTTGTGAAGCTCCTCTAAACTCTTGACTAGTGTTTCCAACACTCTTGTTCTAAAGAATTATTTTATCTAACTTTATTTTTAATGTGACCACAGAGGGTCAGAGTGAGAAAAAGAAAGTGAGAAATCAAGCTGCCAGGTCTGGGACTTGAACCATGGTCGACCCTGTGGGAGTCCAGCGCCCTTATGTATTTGAAACAAATTTTATGTTTAGATTTGGGCCCCATCTCCAAGATATCTCATTATGTATATGCAAATATTCTAAAATTTGAAAAATTTCCAAATACAAAATACTTCTGATTCCCAGTATTTTGGAAAAGGGATACTCTGTCATGAACTTAAGGAGAAACAAATAATGATGGATGAATGAAGGACAAGATGGACCATCCTTTTGGTAGGGAATACTTCAGTTTGAGAAAGTATCACATTTTTCCCATAAATTATTTACCAAATTTGCATTCAAATTGTAAATTATCACAGATTAAAGGGGGAAAAAGCTAGAATGTGATGCTGAAGATCTTCAAGAAATATAACCACGTGAACTGGTAAAATATAAACAGGGAAGTGTGCAGTCAGTATGAGGACCATTTTGAAAAAGAATAAGGTGTGACCAGCTCTAAGAAATATTAAAGTACGTTATAGGCTATAGTCATCGAAACATTTTAGAACTAGTATGAATGGTATGAATTAAACAAATGGATTTTAAGGCTTTAGTATATTACCAAAAGTGGTACTTCAAATCAGTAGATTCAAGTATCACAGACTAGCTAAAGCTTTCTTTTGACACCAAATTCCAGGTGAATTAAAAATTTTACATTAAAAAGTGAAGCAGCAGGAAAAACCCCAACATCATATATCTGTTCTTAAATTAAGGGACAAGAAATGTATAAGCTACTTTTGAAACCAAGAATCAAGGGGGGGGGGAACACAACAAACTGATCAATTCAGCAAAGCAGCACTCATACAGAAACTCCTCTACTTTTCTGATCCCTTTTGTACTTTCTTCTTCACTGTAGAGCTGAGTGTCTTGAGGGAATTATCTACCATGATTATTTCTTCACCGCTCCCTCCCTCCTCGCCCTGTCTTGCTGACCCTCACCGCTGCACTCTGAGTCTCCTCTTGTTCTCTGTAGCAGTGACTGCACATCCCAAAGCCAATGCATGTTATCAATCCTTTATCATTGCCCCTGCCAGTGTCTCGACACTTGGTGGCAGGCATGCCTGCTTCACTTACATGTCTTACTTGTGAAGCTCCTCTAAACTCTTGACTAGTGTTTCCAACACTCTTGTTCTAAAGAATTATTTTATCTAACTTTATTTTTAATGTGACCACAGAGGGTCAGAGTGAGAAAAAGAAAGTGAGAAATCAAGCTGCCAGGTCTGGGACTTGAACCATGGTCGACCCTGTGGGAGTCCAGCGCCCTTAACCACCATGCCACCTGCTGGCCCCATATTTCCAACTTTCTAATGGCCATTGCCTTCCAGATGTCTTACAGACCCCTCCCTGTCCAACATGGAACTACTTCATCAAGGCCAGCTCCTCTCTTTATGTCCCTGTATTTTCAGTCCCCTGGAAGTTCTCTTAACACTCCCCATCTGCCACATGAGTCACCTCTTGAGCACTTATCAAACCAGTCTTCCTATCTCTGCTCCTATGCCCAAAGCTTCTCAGGTGCTCACCATCTGTCTGGGTTACCTGCTGTAGCTTCTGATGCCAAACATGGGCCCCATTCAATATATTATCTTCCATTCTGCTGCCAGAGTAAGCAGACCTTCTTTAACATAAACATACATTTCTTCTGTTAACATTCCACAGATTGCTATTTCTTTAACAATAAGGTTCAAGTTCCCTGGTTAAGCACATTAGACCTACCCAACAACACCCTTTCTCACCTGTTACTCCACCTGTGGACCCTTTGTTCTAGCCATTCTTTGTTTACTCGCCATTCTTGCCATTCTTAGAACTGACTGTGCTTAGGCCTTTGTACTTTTAAATGCATCTGCCTCTGCATATGAACTGTCCATTCCTTTCACCATTCTGTAGATAACTTTCACCAAAAATCCAGTTCCAATATCACATGCTTGAGGAAATCTTAACAACCCCCTAAGTGCCAAGTTCCATGAGGGCAGGGAGGTCTTGTCTGGGTATCCCCAGCAACTGATACTGTGTTTGGCACAAGCAGGTGCTCAATAAATACTTATGGAGTGAACAAATTTGTACACGGGACGACTGCAACTCCTTCCTAGTTGCCTAGCTGCAGCCTGCAAAGGCTAGGAAACTCTAATGCTGGCGGAGGGCAGGAACCCAGCGGAGATGAGGGAATGGAGAGTGGGGTGGAAGACCTGGGTAGTTACAGTATAGGAAGGAGGAGAAGAGGTGGCTGCCAGGAAATGATGAACAGCTGATATTCATGACATTAGAGTTAATGGAGAAAAAAATTATATAAAGGTCATTGTTGTAAGGGATTTTAAAGTGAACTTGGAGGTATTGAGTTAAGGTGAAGTGAACATGGCTGGGGGAGCAGAGGTGGTACCAGAGACAGACGGGCCTACCTTATTCCTTGTGTGAACTTCATTTACTGTGCCTGCCCACTGGAGGGCACTACCGTGTTCTTAAGAGACCTGTGTCAGTGCTGTGTAGTACTCTAAGGAAAAAAACAGTATCTAATAGCTTCCAGATTTAAATACTGACAAGACTATCTTATATTCTGAGTTCCCACAGTCAGGACCAAATATTCTGGGAGGCAATATTAGTTAACACCTCAGGGTTATTTTCATAATCACCAAGGATGGTGGGAAATTCACTTAATAAAAGAAACGGTAATTTCACTAAAAACACCCCCTGAGACCCACGGAATGTGGTAGGGAGTGGTTGGGCCAAGTTAATGTAAAAATGAACAGTTGTAGGTGTTGAAGCTCCAACCTGAAATACTTAGATGGGGCACTGGTGCTCCAGCTAAAGACTAAAAGATGCAGAGCACCTGGGGGTTACTTCCCAAGGCTCAGTCCAACAGAGAGAGGGGCACGCTTCCAACTGTGTACTGCCAGGTCAAGAAGGCTGGTGCCTAGGAGAAAAGAGCAGCAAAGCTGTGGGAAAGCTGCAGGCGCTGTGTGGAGCTAAGGGAGGTCGCTGGTGAAAACAAAGGGGAGAGCACCAGCAGCTGGGTGCAAGGCTTGCTGAAGTTGTTCCCCTTAAGCAGCAAGAGCCATAATTACAGATAGATGACTGTATTATTAATAGATATGGAGAAAATCGAGGGAGGGACTATGTGGTGGTGGGACCAAAGGCACTATCTATTTTCAGAGGAACAAAAACAATTGAAAGACGCATGGAAATTCTTTGACAGACTACCTAAACTAAACTTCCTAAGTCATTGGGTATCATTCGGATAACAGGCGAACAACTTCATAAATCTAAAGTCTGCTTATAACAGCTGCAATTCTATCCTTTCTTGTAGGGTAGGATGAAATTGAATGATTGAGCTGATAACTATTTTAATGAGTGTCTATGAAACTCTGAAAGTCATATTAACTTTTCTTCAAGTCTGACCACATGTTTCCTCTCAATATCCTTCACCTGTCCACAATCAACTACAGAAACTGTTTTTCCCCCCAAGGTTTTTTTGTGTGTGCTAAAATAACAAATGGCAATCTGCCCTAGGATATTATTATTAATACCCATAATAGCTCCAGTAAGATATATTTATAGTTCTGACTCATTTTGGAATAGCAGGTAATTGTCTTACAGTCCTTTTGAAAATAAACAAATAAATAACAGCTTCTACATTAGATGCTGCGGCAACACTCTTAATAAAACCTGGTCACGAAACATAACAAAAGCAAAAATGAAATTCAAATCAGACTCCAGGCTGCTGCAAAGTATTGTTGACTGAAGATGCGAGATGAACCTTTTACTCACCAGGGGAAGCAGATGTGTTTCCATGTATAATGTATATTTTTAAAAGCAATTATTTTATATATAGAATGTGATTTAATAAAAACCGCCTTCTGTATCTGCAGACTTGGAAACAGGAACCACAAATGGGTGTCTCTGAAAACACACAGGTCCCTACACTTAATGCAAGGCCTGTCAAGCAAAATTTTGTGCCTCTTTTTCTATTCTCTGAAGCTTAAAAAAAATGAATTCAGTGCCATGGTAAGCTGAAAGGGCACAGATAACAAAGCATGTAAATTGTTAGGCGCCTCATAGATTTAAGCATGTCATGCATAATAAAAAAGATGGTGTTTCCTGTGGAAATCTATTGTGAGATGCATCCATTGAAAGGCAACTGAGAGCTCAAAATCGAGTTCATCTGACAAGAAACAGAGCCCAAGCGAATAATACACAAATGGACGACGACATTTAGAAAGGAGTGGACCTGTGCTCATTCTCAATTCCAGACAAGCAGAATGGTTCTCAATACATGTGGTCACTCAAGGAACCAGTGGCCAGAAGAAACAGATGTGCTGTCAGGCAGGAGCCAGGTGTAAAAGGTGGCTCCCTGCAGTCATTCCCACCATGAAGCACGGGGCTCCTACAGGTGTTCTTAAATGACTTGGTTCGGAAGTCTATCAGCCAACAGCTGTGTTGGCATGGACTCCAGCCCAAGCTGAATCACATCTAAGAATAGCTACTGAGTTCATTCTCAGAACGCTTTGAGAATTAATGGTGAAGATGTACCTCAATGAATAATCCATTTCAACACATGGTAATAAATCCTTAGCTTTGTACAACATAAATATTGACAAAGACACACATAGCCACCTCATTTGAAAGCCCGATTATATAATTTTACCTAGTGGAGAAAAACGTACTCCTCTTCATTTCAATACGGTAAATAGTTACTTGGCTCAATAACAGATGCTTTTAGGATCCAAAACATGCTATTTTGAATTTTACTTAAAACGTCATTAGCAACTTACTCATTTCAAGATATTCATAAAATAATCCCAGTTTGTTTATAGGCTGCAGATGGTAGTCCTGTTCCCATCTTGGGGTTATCTTTTCTGATCCTGAAACTGTGTGATACCGTCCAATCAGATTCATGATCCAGCTGCCAAAAAGATCAAATTGTAAATTAGAATGAATATTATCAGGTGAAGGTCACAAAAGTATTTTGCTGCTGTCTCAATGCTGAACACATAATCTCCTAAGAAATTAATTTCTCTCTTACATGCTAGCTTTCTTTTTGTCTTCTTACCACACTTGAAAAACAGGACCATGTACTGGAGTTTATCAAAATTGTAACTGCTACTACTTTTTCTCCCACCTATTTTTCATACGGGCAGTTCACCTTAAGATGTCCTCATTTGAATAGTTTTTTTTTTTTTTCTTCATTCCCCTCTATTATTCAAAATGGTCTTCCCAATATGAAAATTACCAGAAAAAAATATAGACAGACCTAGTATATGACCTGGTGACATGTGCTGTGGAGAAAAAGGAAAGACATGTTTGCATTTAGGCAGAGAGAGGTCTAGATATGGTGGCCAGAAAAGGCCTTCCTAACAGTGACACATGAAGGAAGCTGAGAGGCAAGCAGTGTAGGGACAGAAGTTCCAGGTACAGGGAATGGTGAGGATAGTGACTCTGTGTCCTGTTTTCTACAGAGAACACAGAGGCCCCTGTGACCTCAGGCTGGTAGGAAACAATTCTGGTGGTTTGGGGGAGTGGGGCCTTTGAGACCAATGTGAGGACTGGGCATTTTTCTTACTAAGGGAAGCGAGGAGCCATTGGAAGGCACTGAGCAGAATAGTGACCTCGTTTGACATTAGATAAAATAGATTCCAGGCCCTATTTTAAGCTAAACACTGTAAAGACCATGGGAGTGAAACACCTCCTCAAGGTCACAGTGCAGAGCCAGGAGGAAACAAGGCCTCCCGGTGCTCTGCCCACCCTGAATGCTGCCCCATCGAGCTGTGCACTGTCTCTTCTCATCTGTCATGTTTTCTCCCTCAAAGCCCATGGCCTGGATAAATGCTTCCCCTTTTTTTTTCTGGCAATTTGTCCTGAAAAGAAATGTGAGTTGGCAGTAAAATGAGGTGTCCCTTGTAACGTAAAGAACCACTGTCCCCTCCAGCATCAGAGACTTGTGGTTTACTTGTGGAGTTCAGTGAAAGAGACGCAAGAACGATGACTTCTAATACAGAGGTAGCAGCTGGCTAAGCTGTGCCTGATTAAACAACATGTTTGCGTGGACTGTGAATTTAGACAATGAGACTGTTCCTCCCACAGGACTGTGAAGAAGCTCCAGCAAGAACACAGAACAGACCCTCATCCCTCTGTCGTGTGTGCAAGTTCCGCACACACTCAGGTGGAGGAAGACGTCAGTTACCAGTGGCTTGCTGTGCTTCTCACTCTTCCTGATGTCAGGGCCAAGTGTTCACCACCGGGCTTTCCTCAGGCGGTGATTCTCTGCTATAGAACACGATCCTGGCTTCGCAATCTCCCCCACTTTCTCGCTGATTGTAATATCAGTAGGCAACAGGAGGCTGTATAAAGTGGTGGGGATATGGACTCAGACACCCCTGAATCTGAATCTATACTCCACTGTTAAATAGCTACTTAACTCTGGTAAAGTTAAAATAAAATGCAGTGCTAAAATATACATTGCTCAGGGTTGCTATCAGAATTAAATTATTCAAAACAGGAAAAAGACATAGCACACTTCCTAACACATAGAAACTTTCTGCATGAGGCTTTTTGTTGACCAATACAGGATACACTGGCTAAAACCAACCAAAAATATGGCCTACATTATTTAGAGTCTGACTTGGGAGTAACAGGCACCTGATTCAGTGGTTCTTACTTCAGCACTTGAAGAGTAAATGGAATGCCTGTTAATAGTGCAGCGTCCAATGCCCCCAACCAAAAGATATAGGTGTGCCCCAAATCTTCAGCCTCTCCAGAGCCTGTGACATTGGTGGCACCAAAAACCCCACGTGTCCATCATCTCCATGACTTCTCACCCAGAGAGAGGAGGGTTTGGTTTTCACTGGTTCATAATGTACTCTGCCCCCTACTTCCAGCCTCTGCCTCTTGCTGAATCCTTTTATTTTTGGAGAGGTTTTCACAATAGGGCGCTTATGCTTGCCAGAAAGACAGAGAGACAGAAAGTGAGAAATCACCCCCGGGGAGATGGCCACACTGCAACCCCTTCTCCTCTTGGGATCTTGGGCACATACACGTGCCCGGCATGAGTTTAAGCCACTGGGTCCGGTACTCAAACTGAGGTCAACTACATGGGAGTCCAGCGACATAGCCATTATGCCAACTGCTGGTCCACTGCTGAATCGTTTTGATGCTCCCAGAGAAGCAGGTAGGTTTTCATCTGGGCCCCAGGATTAAACTTCTGTTCTGGTCACTACCTGCATTACCAACTCATATGGCACTTCTCGTGCTATCCTGCCTCTCTGTTCATATGAGGCCCTACGAAAGTCTTCCTGTGAGCTTGTTTTCTGAGCTGCACAGTAAGCCTCTCTCATTCAGCTTCCCTGAGGTGAACCACTCAACCATGGTAGGAAATCCTGGGCCGTGGTCCAACCGTCACTGCCCTTGGCCTTTTGACTTTCTTAGGGGCTCTGGTTCTAGTTGAGTGATCTCAATCTTGACTTCACATGAGAATTACCTATAGAACTTACAAAAATACAGACCTCAGACACCATTTCTCCTGGCCAAGGCTAGAAGCAGTGGTTACTAATTAAGTTCATTAGGAGCTACCATGCATATTAGCATAACTGCATCATAATAAATTGCTCTGGATTAAGTACTTATTATGTGCAAGGCATTTTCTCTAAACCTTTTCATGATTTAATCCACAAATAAAGAGAGCCAATATCTGTTTTTCTTTTTTCTTCACCTTTTTTTTTTTTTTTTTGGAGAGGTTTTTGCTATAGGGCGCGTGCGCTCGCCAGACAGACAGACAGACAGAAAGCGAGAAATCACTCCCCCCCAGGGGGGATGGTCATGTCACAATCCCTTCTCCTCCATTCTCCTCTCGGGATCTTGGGCATGCACGCACATGCGCCCGGCGTGAGTTTTAAGCTACTGGGTGTGGGACGCGAACCATGGTCGACTACGTGGGAGTCCAGCAACATAGCCATTACGCTAACTGCTGGTTCCTATTGTTACTTTTTTTTAAAGAAGCAAACTGACATCTATACACAAAGAAGCAGCAGCCCATATCACTCTTTAATTGAGTGAACACTTAGTATTCTCAGTTTTCAAACAGAGAAAGATAATTAAAACATAATGCCTAAGGAAGATCGCAATGTGGTGAGACCCTGTCAAAAATACCTCCCCTCTCTCATTAACAAACAAACACAGAGCCCAAGTATTTTAGGCCAGGCATAGAGAGAGCTGAAGGCAAACACAGGTCACTGTATCTTTTAACAATGGGTTTACTTGAAGTAAAAGTGTAAACATACCAGGGAAACTGAACTTCATCTTTTATTTTAAAATATTTCATGTGAACAAATGTTCATATGTATTTTTCCATACTATAATAGTTTAGAAAACATCCTCCCCTCTAATTTTTTAAGTCAGAAGATAGGCTTTTGCTGACAACCAGTTAATTATCAAGGATTAGTGTTACAGTAATTATTTTGTTCAGAAAAATGCTGCTTTAAAATCACTTTACAGTGTATGTTTGTGTCTGTGTGAATTTTCCTTTAGGGCCTCATGATACCGTGATCTTCCTGCCTCAGCCTTTTGAGTGGTTGGAATTATAGGCACAAATCACTGTGTGGCTTTTTAGGGTGGTTCAAGAATTGAACCCAGGCCCATCCATGTGGCCTTGGCCTATCCAGTAGCATGTGCTACTGCACGAAGGCCGCTAAACACTTTTTAATAATCTAATGACTTCAGACTTCCTCTATATTATATATTAACTGTATATGGAAACGAACATAATATGTTTGCGCATAGCCTACTTAACTGGAAAATGTGAATAGAAACTCAGTAAAATAGGTTTGTTTTCTACACAGTTGGCAATTTAAAAAAAAAATCAAGAATTGAACCCAGGCCCATCCATGTGGCCTTGGCCTATCCAGTAGCATGTGCTACTGCACGAAGGCCGCTAAACACTTTTTAATAATCTAATGACTTCAGACTTCCTCTATATTATATATTAACTGTATATGGAAACGAACATAATATGTTTGCGCATAGCCTACTTAACTGGAAAATGTGAATAGAAACTCAGTAAAATAGGTTTGTTTTCTACACAGTTGGCAATTAAAAAAAAAAAGAAAAGAAAGAGAGAAAGAAACATTTCCTATGTAAAGCCAGGATTCTTTTTTGAGAGAGTGTAATTGGAGGTAGGAGAGAGGGAAGGAGGAATGTCTTAGTTTACACTAAAGATGAAGTTCTGGTAAAGAAATCTGAAAGGATGCACTGAAACGCAGTCAGCTACCTGCTCTAGGAAGAGGGTGCATAGACACTTGGCAATGGGGCGGAGAAAAAGAAAAGGGCAAGGAGAAGAAAGAGAGGGAAAATGTGTGTGATGGGGAAAGACTAGGAAACATGGGGCAAAATGGCAAGAGGTTGCAGGCAACAAAGGAGGATGAAAAGTTAAAAAAAAAAATACTCACGGAAGTAATACTTCCTGTATGTTATTCCAGATTGCTTTCCCACCCATGATTATAGTCAGCTGAGTTGTCAGTTCAAGGAGACAGCCACCTGGGTCACACTGGAATGGTAAAAAGAAAATCACATGTAAATGTTATAAGGGCCTAACTTGGAATATGGTCACTAGTTTGGTTTTTCTAATACCTTGTTCTGTTTCGGTTAAAAAAAAATATCTAGGAATTATAAAGTGAAGAGGGTATTCCTTGGGCAACTGAATGAAAACATAAAGCAGCTTAGACTGTCAAGAGAATATAGTTTTATATTCATACCTCTTCATTTCTGTATTTTCCCATCCAATAAACTGGGTCTCCTGGATAGCCTACAAATTTGCCCTTAAAGAATGCTATGTAGAAACATGAAGAGTAGTAGTTGACAAACTGGAATAAGAACATCTTCATGGTTAAGCTGTTCTCATAATCAGTCTGGGTTCTTGGGAGTTCTATAGTTAAAATAAAGAAAAGGAAGACTTAAAAATTGTGAACAGCTTTGAGGCCCTAATCAAAGACACTGATATACAAGCTAACATGTTAAAAAAAAATACAATTCACACTGTTTTCCATTTAAGCTGTTTTGAATTCCTTAATATAGCCACTGTGTTAATTCCAAGTTTACACATTGTTATAAGAGTTCTCCCCACACCCCACATGGATATAATATTCCACAGGGCAAAAATAAATAAACAGTTCCTTAAAATTTACAAGTATAATGTGATCAAATGGTCAAAGTCTAAAGTGCCAGAAAATTATTTTTGAATTGCCTGCTAAATGGTATTTTCTTGTCTTCTCAAACTGCAGTCAGAGCTTGTTGAAAACAAACAACAAGACAAGAAGCAACTTGCTAGAGGCATTTGGGGAAGACAAAACAGGTCATCCTCCTAGTTTGAAATCTGAATCAGTCTGGTCATTTTTAGATGATCATTGAGCAGGCCATTCAGAGAACAACCCAGAAGGTACACAGGGTGGAGGACGTACTTAACTTTGGCCACTAAGCAGCTGCCTGGGACACAAGCCAGAGAGATGAAACACTTCCTATGAAAGCGAGAGCTGATGGGAATTATACCCACATGGACAGAATGAAGGAAGACCCAGGACAGTGTGACTGCTTTTCCCCTCAGCAACACAGGAGCACACTTGCTTTGGGAACTCTGACTCTGTTCCACTTTACCTTCCGTAAAGAGACTATTTACTTTCAATGAGAGTACCTGATCGAATTGAAAATATCATCACTGATCTGTTTACACAAGGCTAGGACATTATAATGACTATCTTTGCTCTCTCCTTTTTATGAATGTAAAGTTGTAGATAATTCATTTCCTCTATAGGCCAGAAAATGTTTATCATAAAAAAATTCCTAAAAATTGTACCCTATTGGAATCGAAACACTTAAAAGATACAGTCTCTATTTTAACCAGGTTCAGAAAGTGTCTCTGAAATTACCTAAGCTGTAGTAGCACCTTACCGAAGTTTGTGATCATGATCGCCACTTTTTCATATATGGTGTTCAGAATCATGATGATGATAAAACTGATGATGGAAGCAGTGATGGATGTGGCCGTCTGTGGAGTCAGATACTTCTGGATTGGGTCTGTTCCATTAAGGCTCTTGGGAAGTTTTGCAGAAAATACAATGAACACTGACAGCCTATAGACAATGATCCCAATAACTGAGGCGATGATCAATAGGATCTGAAAGCACAATAAGAAAAAAGCAGCATGAGGCTCAGCAATCATACACTTAAATGAACAAGATGCATGCGCAAAGTGATGTAAATCTCACATACTGCCACAAGAGAAGTACAAAATCGGGCACGTTAGGTCTCAAAGAAAAGAGAAGGAAATATAGAAGTTGAGAGGTAAATCCACTAATGTAAGATGTTAACAGTAAGAGAAACTTGGGAACCAGCAGTTAGTGTAATGGCTATGTCGCTGGACTCCCATGTAGTCGACCGCGGTTCGCGTCCCGGACCTGGTGGCTTAAAACTCATGCCGGGCGCATGTGTGTGCGTGCCCAAGATCCCGAGAGGAGAATGGAGGAGAAGGGATTGCAGCGTGACCATCCCCCCTAGGGGGTGATTTCTCGCTTTCTGTCTCTATGTCTCTCTCTGTCTGTCTGGCGAGCACATGCACCCTATAGCGAAAACCTCTCCAAAAAAAAAAAAAACAAAAAAAAAAACAAAACAAAAAAAACCCAAAAAAACAAAAACAGTAAGAGAAACTTAAACAGGGGTAAGAGAAGATGTGGAAATTTTATGTACTTGCTGTGCAGTTTTTCTATAAACTTAAAATTGCTCTAAAAGTCTATTAGAAAAATAATTAGTAATATCAGAAAGTACAAAAATGGGTCATTGGGAAAGTTGTGATGCATTTTTGCATAGAAAAACATGGAAATATATGTCATGACTTTCCCGATCACCTGAAAGTAGTGTGTTCTGGTAAAAAGTATCTGTGTGCATAGAACCAAAGAAAACATCCTTTCTCTAATTACTGAATTATTTAGGTTATGAATTAATGTGCTTTTTGCTCAGTTATACTCCATTAAGTAGATATTACCTTCTAAGGGAGGACCTACCACCACCAGTTCAAGTGTTACCATGCCAGGAACCTAAAAAGTGTTAGCTTTTGTTATCACTGGAGCAGGGGGATTCTGAGCAGGGCTGGTGAGGCTGGCCCGGAGGTGCTCCAAGTGCTCTGAGCTAGTAGGTCTGGCAGCAGGTCTCTGTGATAAAAGCTTCACACACTTTTTACACTCAGATCTTAAGATCTTAAACTGGCAGTCATTTGTGCCTGTATTTCCCCAAGATTCATATCACAGTTCATTGTATTTTTGTCCCTAGTGTCTATGGGGGTGTCTGCATGATTTGCACACAGGAGGATTCACTTTCTCAGTAAGCATGTTCTCTCGGGCCACTGGACAATGCACAATAAAGGTCTCATGCGTGTTTCCTTACTTGGTACACAGTCTTAGATGTTGTTGAAGGGACATCCTTGAACAGTTTTCCATACATCTACTGTCTTGGATGTACACTAGAACCATGTGTTTAACGTGTGTGACTGCCCATCATGAGACAGAGAGAGACACTACAGAGAACATGAACTTCAGGACCAAGTCAATCATGTTGGGTTGCTGACATTAACAGAAAGGCTGGTTTTCCCCTGGAGAGAACAGCAGCAGGAGTGATCCATCCTGGGACAGTCCTGGAGCCCAACTTCTGCCTGCATCTGAATCTCCGCTCCACCGCTAGCTGTGGGCCTTGGGCAAATTAACCCTTGGGGCTTCAATTTCTTCACCCATGCAATGGGGATACCACAGCACTTAACTCAGAGAACAGTGGAGGAATCAGTGAGTTACTGTTGGTAAAAACAGTGGGGACATTATGCCCAGACATATGAAAAGCAGTATACAAATACTAGCTATAATTATGGAGATCAAAGTGTTAAAAAGGTTTTTTTTTTTGTTTTTTTTTTTTTTTTTACATTTTTTAAGCAC